AACGGCGTTAGGGCTGGCCCCCTTAACGTCCGAAGCACCCCTGTGTGTGAGTGAGTGCTCTGATGACTGAAGGGGGGACGCTCCCTGATGAAGTCAAAAGATGAGCCTCACTCACCCCGCCTCCACCTGGGCCAGGCTTTGCCTGGCTTGAGCGGGGGCTTGTGGGACGCTTCATGCCCTCTGCTCGTGCCTCTCCGGGGCTGCGGAGTGGAGGTGGACTGCACGGCACACCAGCAACGATGGTGGTTGTGGGTGTTGTAAGTCCCCGCGCTTTCCTTGCTTGTTTTTGCGCTGTTTCCTTGTTTGTTGCTTGTTTCTCTTGCTGTTTCGTTGTTTGTATCCTAGCTTGTTGCTGTGCTTGCTTGCTTTGCGTGCTTGCTTGCTGTTTGCTACTAACCCCCCGTGGTTCCCATGCAGGTCCCACACGAAGGGTCCCCACCTCAACGTGGTGTGTGGGTGTAACACTAGGGGTTTATCCCCCTAGTGGCCAAGAGGGGCCCAGAAGACCCAAGAGAAGACCGTGGCACGCTTTTGTATTGCCTGAATAATTGTAGATTCAGATAATAGCCTGAATAATGGTAGATCTGCTTAGGTTATGGATAAGAAATACGTCTCAGCATGAACATTTGAATTGAAACTAGGTAGTTTAGCATGCACCAGACAAGCATAGGGCGCGGCAGAGCTGATGAACATAATAAATATTGTTTGCACAAGCACATACTACATACATCCAGTCCATCGTAACTTCTGTTGCTACTTCTGGCAACGCTGTGTGCTGCTGAGGCATCACCAACAGAGACTCGTGGGAAGTCCCTACCTACCAGCATGATAACAGGATGCTGAAGTGTGAAGGATTGCTTTCTGTTGTGTGCCGTGCCTCTGCTCTTCTCAGGCTGAGTGAATCAGCATCCACCATGACTGTAAGCAATCATCTACCCCAGCAAAGGGAGCAATGACACCAGTGGTGAGCGGCCCTGCGTCCACCTGCAGACACACACATACCGATGCAGATGCATGCAAGTGGGATCGGAGGTTACCAGGTGACTTACAGTCAGAATTCTTACACCTATTTTGCATCATGTGATTGACCTCGGTATGCAGCATCGGGCTATGTAGCACCAGGCAAGAACACACAGGGTTGGGCAGAGATGGTGAGAACCGTGAAAAATACGATGAGAAGGTGAGAAGGTGAGCCACGGGCTTATTCGGAGTGCTCACTTTGGGAAGGGCGGCTCACCTTGGGATGGACGGAGATGGCAGTAAGAGCCACCACAAGGACGAGGAGGAAGGTGATGAAGAAGATGTTGAGCGAGCAGGAGGAGGAGGAGGAGGGCGCGAAGAGCAGATAGCACACGACTGACACCACCGCCATCCATACGACTGACACCACCGCCATCCATACGACTGACACCACCGCCATCCATACGACTGACACCACCGCCATCCATACGACTGACACCACCGCCATCCATACGACTGACACCACCGCCATCCATACGACTGACACCACCGCCATCCATACGACTGACACCACCGCCATCCATACGACTGACACCACCGCCATCCATACGACTGACACCACCGCCATCCATACGACTGACACCACCGCCATCCATACGACTGACACCACCGCCATCCATACGACTGACACCACCGCCATCCATACGACTGACACCACCGCCATCCATACGACTGACACCACCGCCATCCATACGACTGACACCACCGCCATCCATACGACTGACACCACCGCCATCCATACGACTGACACCACCGCCATCCATACGACTGATACCACCGCCATCCATACGACTGACACCACCGCCATCCATACATGCCTGCACACATGCCATGCACACATGCCTGCACACATGCCATGCACACATGCCTGCACACATGCCATGCGTGCATGAGTGGGTGATGTACGTACATGTGTATATGAACATACACATGTATGCATGCATACAGTCTTCTACGCATATCTGCACATTTACATGATAAATGATGAGCCAGAAATTCACCAGCATCAAAGCATTTGGAGCGGCCGAGAGTCATTCCACACATAGATGAAATTGATGATGCTCACGAGCTGAATCATCAGGCTCCTGCTATCGTCACCCCAAATGATAGTACCGGCATGTGTGCCAGCACATGCTATCAACGAAGGTAAGGTGCTCACATCTTGTCGTTGTTGAGCCAAGAGTCATTCCAGACGTAGATGAAGTTGATGATGCTCACGAGCTGAATCACCAGGAACACTGCTGCTCCCGCTATCGCCACCTCGCCGTACACCTGAAAGACCTCTGGTCAGGTGACGGGTCAGGTGAAAACCACATAAGGACCGACTGTGAAGCGTCAGTGGAACGGAGTGAGGGATGAAGCAGTGCACATGAACAAACGAATCCAGTCCGTAACAGGACAGCTGCAAGAAGAACACAGAAGCCGGACAAGCGCAGAAGCAGGAGGAAGCACACAACAGACATACGGTATGGAGGAGAAACGAGCACACATACGGAAAGGGAGGAGGAAGGGAAGGAAGAGCAGCAGCAGCCAGAGGATGAGTTTAGGAGGCCACCAGCCCGAGTGCCCGAGCCAGAGGTCATGACAGCTGCGGCAGCCGCCCTCGAGCTTGGCGGCGGTGGTGGTGGCGAGGCGAGCATGAGCGCGAAGAAGAGGCACTGCAGCACTGCCGGCTGTGGTGGCCGAAGCTCACCCGCAGCACTGCCAGCGCTCCCACACACCCGGGGTTGTTCGGCTCGCATGATTGGAAGCCTGGTAGGGAGGGAGAATAGAAAGCAGGAGTGCGGGACGCAGGAGGGTGGGTGGGACGCAGGAGAGTGGGAAGCAGAAGCAGAGAGAAAGGATGACCATGCTTCGTGTGGTGTGAACAGGCCGAGTGTAAAGTGCGTCACTCGCAGCATTGCCAGGGCTCCCGCACAGCCAGGGTTGAAAGGTAAGGGAAGGGACAAAGGAGGGAAGGAGGGTACGAAGCCGAGGACAGCACTAGCCGAGGTTTCTGCAATGCATTGATACAGGAACAAAAGGTACACACACAGCAACAATGTTCCCACAGCATTACAACAAAGTGTACGGATCGCACTCACTGTAGAGATTATAAAGTGCATCGGTAGCATAGCCTCTAAGAACCCATGCGACTATAACGGAGGCCAGGAACATCCCTCCATATAAGAACTTCGCGGCGACGCGCGAGGGACCGAAGGAGCAGCAGGAGCAGAGGCAGTGACCCAAGGCGGTACCGGCGAAAGCAGCAGCCGGTGCAGAATCCGATGCACATCGCGCCTCGCCCGCTAACTAATGCTCCTGATGCTGATCGCTGATCGCTGCTGATCGCTTGATGCTGATCGTCGATCGCTTATCTCTGATCGACGGTCTTGATCGGCTCGCTTTGGAATATCGGCTCTCTTAGCTATGACGCTCTACCCAGCATAGAGAGCGTTCAAAGAGTCGTCATTGAGTTGACTAATGCATTCTTGACGCTAATCATGGTGTTGACCGTTGTCAATGCGTTGGGTAAATCATATTTTTCGCGAATGCGCAGCGTTTGAAACGCAATATCGCTGTGTTCGAAGCTAATCAATGAACAAGTTAGTTTGCCTGACGACTACTAACAAGTTTGTGACGGAAGAACACTCACGCTATTCAACCTATAAAGATCATAAGGGCCTTGTTCTGCAGGCGCATCAGGCCGCATCCGGCCGCATCAATGTACATTGATGCAATTTCCCGGGGCTCCAGGATCCTTCGTTGATAACCTGCCGACAGGTTATCAAGGCTCGCGATAAGCGCATCAGAGCCGAGGCAGACCAAGCCAGAATGCCTGCAGAACGGCCTTTTTGGCGACCAAAATTTCCTATGTCGCCACGTTCTCGGATGTTTCTCGTCCTAGCAATCGGGCGCATTTGAAATGCGCGCATCATGCAACTTCGAAAAGTCGATTCATGCGCGCATCAGGCAAATTCGAAAAAATACTGCAACCTCATTGGCCAATCGTTTTGGCACCTCCGAAATTCAGAGACTTCTAACTTCCCAGAAACCTGGAAAAATCAGAATGTTGAAATTCGCCAGGAAATTGAATGTCCAATTTCCTGACCTCAATTGAATTTCGTCAAATTTTCCAAGCCTCAAATCGACATGTCCGAACCTAAATTTCGCAATTTCAATTTCGCCATTTCCGAACCTCGATTTTCCAATGTGCGCATCAGTCCGAGCCTACGGCGTATCACAGCTGATGCGCCTGCAGAACACGGCCTAGGCAGAAGGCCTTTATGGCATGAAAGACGCGCCACGGGAATGATTCAGAGACCATGAGATTGGTGAAAGAGTCGCTTTGATCATGGCAGTGCCGTATTCACATGCGGTTCTTCCTGTTTCTAAACTTCAAATCAATCGAGTGTATGATGTTATGAATACTTGTAATGCATTCGAAGTATGCTTAAAAAGGTCTGACTTCAGTCACTTGACCGTCGGTGTCGCGAAGGCATGTCTCCAGAAATTGCGAAATTGTACAAGCCGTTCGGCTTCTCCCAGCCATCAGTTGCTTTTGAAAGCATTTCGCCAACCAGGTATCTCTTCGTCAAGAAAACTTCGCAAACGCTGTCAGACTTCGCGAAACCCATCATTCACCCCCGCTTCCCCCCATTCCCCGAACCTGATGAAATCCGACCTGCGCCTGCCTCATTTCGCCTGTCAGATGCAAACTCGCGCAACCTCAAAGAATCCGTTTCCGCGTGCGCAAACGCTACGGGGAAGAAGAGGCAAGACAAGGCAACCTAGGGAATATTCTTTTGCGCGCGGCAGTCCCAATGCTTGCTCTGCTCCGCCATAAAGCTCGCCGCCTCTGCATTACTCATTCTCAGATCAAGACTTCAGCTCTCGCTGCTCTCCCTCTCCTCACCTCTCCTCGCCTCTCCAGTCGCGTTGGAGCGAGCGACCGATCCGTGCTCACTCCTCCGCCTCCGCGAGTTCTAATCGCCAGAACCATGGTGAACGAGGACAAATGGGAGCTGAAGCCGCATCCCGTGATTCCCCGCGGGAAGCCGCTCGTGCTTATGATCCTCGACGGATGGGGAGAGAATGTCGAGGACGACTATAACGCGATCTACAAGGGCAACTGCCCGCACATCAAGGCGCTGCGCGAGAACCGCCCCAACCGCTGGCGCACGATCAAGGCGCACGGCAAGGCCGTGGGGCTGCCGAGCGACGGCGACATGGGGAACTCGGAAGTCGGGCACAACGCCATGGGCGCGGGGAAGGTCATCAACCAGGGGTGCGTGAGTGCAAGGACAGGTAGTCGGTGCTTGGTGCCTTGTTGCCGTCCGAATCGCCAGATCCGTTGATTCTAACGGGAGATCTTATGTTACACTCTTGCATCCTGACCGTTTTGTTCGTTATCAGCTGATCCTTTTGTCTTTCGTGTGGATTCTCTGCCTTCCACTGAATCTTGCGTCGCTCTTTGAATCTCTCTTCGCTCTTTGAACCTTTCGTCGTTCTTTGAACCGTTGGCCTTCATCGAATCTTCCTCCTTTTATTAAATCTCTCGCCTTTCGCCTGCCTGCATGCGTCCGTGCAGAGCGGCGCTGGTCGACACCGCGCTCGAGACGGGCGACATGTTCAAGAGCGAGGGCTTTAACTACGTCAGGGAGGCGTGGGACAACGGCGGCACCTTCCACATGATCGGGCTGCTCAGGTCAGCACGCGATCTGACTCGCAAGAATCTCTGTGCAACCATTCCCGATCAACGTTCGTCCGTCGGTTTCGGCGATCGTGAGCGAATCTAGCAGATTTAACCGTTTCCTCGTCCTCCGATCTGTTAGTATTTCCGTCATTCGGCGGTTTCTGTTGTTGTCTCATCCTTGTGTTCAATCGCCCGTATGTTCCGCTGTTTTTCATGTTTGTCCCGCCCGTGTGTCGCAGCGACGGCGGGGTGCACTCGCGCTACGACCAGGTGATCGGCACCATCCACGGCGCGTGGGAGCGCGGCGCGAAGCGCGTGCGCGTGCACGTGCTGACGGACGGTCGCGATGTGCCGGACGGGTCATCCCTGCAGTTCGTGGCGCAGCTTGAGAAGGACCTCGAGCTTCTGCGCGGGCAGGGCTGCGACGCCAAGATCGCGTCTGGTGGCGGGCGGATGCGCGTCACCATGGACCGTTACGAGGTGAGTGGTCAGGTGTCTTTTTGAGTCGACTCATAAGCTTGAGAAGGATCTCGAGCTGCTGCGCGGACAGGGCTGCGACGCCAAGATTGCGTCGGGCGGCGGCCGCATGCGCGTCACCATGGATCGCTACGAGGTCAGTGGTGGTACATGGTGGATAGTGGTGATCTGTTGTGGTCAGTGGTGATCTGTTGTGTGGTCCATACCATGTGGTCTTGAAATGCGGAAGATCGGTCACGTGAAAGGATGTAATGATAACGCTGGGAAGAATATCGATTTCAAAGTCTGGGAGAGGGAGATTTGACTTAGGTGAATGGCAACGAGTAGAGAGTAGTACAGACAAGACTAGCAGGGAAGTACCTTCTGTGGTTTAAATTGGTGTTGAAAGGTCGTGCCTGAAAGGTCGTGCCTGAAAGGTCGTGCCTGAAAGGTCTTGTGTGCCTGCTGCCGCTCCCTGGACGACTGAAATTTCGAAGCGCGGGTGCCCCGCGCACGTGTGGGACTTTCGAGAGGCCCCGAACCGAATTTCCACCCCCCCCACCCCAACTTCTCCCCCTCTCCTTCCCCACCCCCCGTCTCTCCCCCTCCGCATGCTGACTGGAAGATCGTGGAGCGCAGGTGACACGCGCACGTGCTGGACTTGCGATTGGCCTCAGAACCGGTTTTTCTTTCTCCCCGACCCTGCCATTCCCACCGCACTTCTCCCTCCCCGTTCGCCCCTGACCAGGCGGATTGGAATATCGTGGAGCGCGGGTGGCACGCGCACGTGCTGGGCGAGGCGCCGTTCAAGTTCAAGTCCGCGCTCGAGGCGCTGAAGAAGATCAAGGCGGACGATCCGAGCGTGAACGACCAGTACTACCCGCCGTGGGTGATCGTGGACGATGAGGGCAAGCCCGTGGGGCCGATTGTTGATGGCGATGCCGTTGTTATCTGGAACTTCCGCGCGGATCGGGTGATTCAGGTGAGACGGTTTGCCGTTTCTGAGGCGCCTTATTGCGGCTTTGAGTGAGATAAAAGCGGACGTACCGAGCCTGAGTCCGAGCGTGAACGACCAGTACTACCCGCCGTGGGTGATAGTGGACGACGAGGGCAAGCCCGTGGGGCCCGCTGTTTCTGAGGCGCCTTATTTAACCAACGTGCCCCAACGTGCATGGCGAGCTGTATCCTCGAATCCACTCTCTCACCCTCCTTGCACGCCAACCCCCCTCCGCTGCGCGGCGTTCGAGTACCCGGGCTTGTACGAGTTTGATTGTGTGTGCCTGCCCGAGGTGCCCGATGTGGTCTATTCACCTCGGGCACCTCGGCCAGGCACACGCGGTTAAATTCGTACCTATACCCCTCCTTTTTTCCATCCAACCCCCTCAGTATCCAAGGCGTTCGAATATCCCGACTTCCACCAGTTCGACCGTGTACGGGTGCCCAAGGTGCCTGCCTGCTGTATCCCCCATCCACACGTTCCCATTCCTATCCCTATTTGCCACCCCTTCCTGTGTTCCAGATCTCCAAGGCATTTGAGTACCCAAACTTCCACTAGTTTGACCGCGTGCGCGTGCCCAAGTTGCCTGATGTGGTCTGTTCACACTCTCACCTTCCCTCCCTTGCCCCGTCCTCTTCCTTTCCCCCTCCAACTCCCTCAGATCGCCAAGGCCTTCGAGTACCCGGACTTCCACCAGTTTGACCGCATCCGCGTGCCCAAGGTGCACTTTGCGGGCATGATGCAGTACGACGGGGATCTCAAGCTGCCCGCAAAGTTCCTCGTCGCGCCGCCCGTCATCGAAAACACCTCCGGGCAGTACCTCGTGAAGAACGGCGTTCGCACCTTCGCTTGCAGGTCAGTATATGCGGGAATTAGTGCGGTTCAGGGGTTGGGGGAGTGGTTTCAGGAAACAGAATGTCAGGCGTATTATGCGGTACCCAGTGAGAAGTGCCCCTTAAACCAGATGCCCCACATGATTTTTTTGAGAAAATTCTGTGGTGTGCACCCCCTTCCTCCTCCCCTCCCTCCTCCGCTTCCTCATCCCCTTTCTCATCCCTTCCCTCATCCCGTCCCTCATCCCGTCCCTCATCCCCTCCCTCATCCCCTCCCTCCTCCCCTCCCTCATCCCCTCCCTCATCCCCTCGCTTATCCCTTCCCTCATCCTCTCCCCTCCTCCCCTACCCCATCCACCCCCCCCACATCACCCCACCAGTGAGACGCAGAAGTTTGGGCACGTGACGTTCTTTTGGAACGGCAACCGGTCGGGCAAGCTGGATGATGAGTTGGAAACCTACCACGAGGTGCCCAGCGACAACTGCCCCTTCAACGAGAAGCCCCTCATGAAGGCGCGCGAGATTGCGGCCGTGTGCAAGGAGGCGATTCTGTCGGGGAAGTATGACTACATTCGGCTGAACGTGGCGAATGGCGACATGGTGGGGCACACTGGCGTGTTTGACGCTGTGCTGGAGGCGTGTGAGGCCGTGGACGGCAGTGTCAAGGTGAGGGGCGCGGGGCATGGGGGCAGGGGGCATGGGATGGGGCACTGGTATGGGGCTTAGGGCTTGAGGCACGAGGGAACGGAGGGAGGAAAAGGCGAGGGCAGAGGGCTGGTTGGGAAGGCGTGCAAGGAGGCGATTCTGTCGGGAAGTATGACTACATTCGGCTGAACGTGGCGAATGGCGATATGGTGGGGCACACTGGCGTGTTTGACGCCGTGCTGGAGGCGTTTGAAGCCGTGGACGGCAGTGTCAAGGTGAGCCTGTGGCTGAGACTTGAGGCGAGAGCCATGGAGTGTGGGGCACGGAGTGTGGGGCATGTGGTGAGGGGCACACGGGGATGTTTGACGCCGTGCTGGAGGACTGTGAGGCGGTGGACGGCAGTGTCAAGGTGAGGGGCACGGGACAAAGGGGTTGAAGGCATGGAGAGTGCGGCTCTGGGCGTGGGGCATGGGGCTTAGGGCGTGAGGCATGAGGGAAGGGAGGGAGGAAATGGGGAGGGCAGAGGGCTGGTTGGGGGGGGGTGCAAGGAGGCGGTGCTGTCGAGAAAGTATGACTACGTGGCGACATGGTGGGACACACGGGCGTGTTTGATGCCGTGCTGGAGGCGTGTGAAGCCGTGGATGCCAGCATGAAGGTGAGACTGGGGCCCTGAAACAGGGGCAGAGACTTGAGGCGAGAACCATGGGGAGTGGGGCACATGGTGGGGCACACGGGCGTGTTTGACGCCGTGCTGGAGGCGTGTGAAGCCGTGGACGGCAGTGTCAAGGTGAGACGGGCCCTGGGAGCATCAATGTGAGGGGCACGGGATGTGGGGGGAGGCATGCAGTGTTGGGCTTGGGCCCTAGGTCTTGAGGCTTGATGGAAGGGATGGATGAAATGGTGAGGGCAGTGGGCTGGTTGGGCGGCGGGTGTGTATGTTTGAAGCGCCAGGGCACGGGGGGTGGGTGGGGCACATGGGAATGTTTGGTGCCGAGCTGGTTCCCGTGTGGCACTTGCACCCATTCCCTGCTTCCCTTCACTTGCTCATACCTCCACTCCCTTACATTTCCCCTCCCTCCCCCCCGCTTCCCCCTCCCAAACCCCACCTCCCCCCCACTCCTCCCCCCAACGCCGTGCCCCTTAACAGGAGCTGCTGGAGGCGGTGGAGCAGGTGGGCGGCATCTATTGTCTGACAGCGGACCACGGGAACTGTGATGACATGGTGCAGCGCAACAGCAAGACACACAAGCCCATCCTCAGCCCCGACGGCACGCCAGCGCCTCTCACCTCGCACACCCTCGCCCCGGTACGTGCCTCACTGCGATGTCGATCTGATCCCCTATCCCTTTGCCGCGATTCGATCCCCCATGCATCCACCAACACTGATGCATGCATCCTCACGGTGTACGGTGTTTGACCTGTCAGCATCAACCTTCTGTCCCCTCTCCTAAAATGTTTGTGTCTATTATTTACCGGGAAATTGGAGTTTCGGTGCCCTTTCTCACCCTTTGTTTGTACATGATTCTTCGCTGTGCGTCTGCAGGTTCCAATCGCCATTGGTGGACCAGGTCTGCCAGCAAACATCAGGTTCCGCCAGGACATGCCGAATGCAGGACTTGCCAATGTCACAGCCACTTTCATGAACCTGCTCGGATTTGAGGCTCCTGAGGGCTATGAGCCCTCGCTGCTTGAGGTTGTCCCATAGTCGGTCCCTGCATAGTGACCAGCCATGCTATTTTTCTGCTTGTTACAAATGTCATTATACAGCCTTACAAAAAAGAGCGAGCCTGACAAGTTCCAACGAGTAACAGATGTAAAGGAACAATAATGTTTTTCTCAAATGTAATCAGGGATTCAATAATGTATAGACAAATGATGTTTTTTCCCCACTGTAGACTTATGCGTGTTGAATCGTGCAAATCGTAACCTCGAGCCAGATGGGCGGCACTCCCTGACTGCCTGGCACACAATTCTGGAATTTGCAGAGCAGAGAGTGACACAACCTTTCTCATGGCATCTCATCCCAGATCTCCCATTCTCGTCTCTTTGACGGCGTTAGTCGCACTCAGTTTACTCATCGCCACTAGCGCCAGCCAGTCAACGGTTAGTAGCGAAACCGTCAGTAGTGCCGGCCAGTCAACTGGTAGAGGCGAGATGCCGCCGCACGGAGCGCCGTTGAGTGGTAGCGTCGAGAGCAGCAGTCCTAACAGCTCGGGCAATGCCAGCGGTATTCTGATTCCTAGGTGCGACCAGCGGCAGTACGAGGCGCTGGAGCTACCTAACGGGCTTACCGTGCTGCTTATATCGGATCCTGAAACCGATAAGGTGTGTCTCTCCGTATTGCGCGAATCGGAGCTGTGAATTCCCGCGAGACAAACGCGTTATAGTCAGTCCTGCCTTGTTGTTCAAACCTGAATCTGCGTTCGAGCTAACCCGTCAGGCCCATACACGTTTTGAACCGGATCCTTCGTCGGCAATCCCTAGTGCGTTACACCCCGAGCCGATCGTACGTAGAGCAGATCTAGCTTGCCGATCCGTCCTAGGCTGGTGCTTGCACTACCGTCCCTGGCGCATTCTCTTGAGATTTCTCAAAGAGCATCTCCATTATTCCGTCTGCGTTGCTCTGCAGGCTGCAGCGGCCATGGACGTGGGAGTGGGGTCGCTCAGCGATCCCGACGACGCGCCTGGCCTCGCTCACTTCTTAGGTGGGTGACGTTCGCGCGTTCCTTGAGTGCTTTGTTCCGGCTCCTAGGTGAATTTCTCCTGTGTTCAGCGATCTCCACGACGCGCCTGGCCTCTCTCACTTCATAGGTGGGTGAGATTTGCGCGTTCTCCAATTGAATTCCTCCGGTTGAACCCCTCGCGAATGGGCAGAGTTCCGTCTCGTTTTACCTGAAAAGGAATTGCTTTTTGAAGCCAAGTTTCCATCGAATTCAATTGCAATTTCTAGATAGGTTTCCACATGCCGAGCAGAATCCCTTTTTTCGGATCATTTTGCGGAATTTGCTAAATTCTCACGTTCCTAACATTCGTTTCTCGCTGTGGCAGAGCACATGCTCTTCTATGCTAGCGAGAAGTACCCTATCGAGGACAGCTACAGTGACTTTCTCAACAAGGTAACTCCGGCATGCTGTCAGTTCATTCTAGAATCATCCTTTCTGTGAGTCGATGCTTCAGGCGCCTCAAAGATCACCGCTCATGACAAATTTCATAACCCACACCCCCCCCACCCACCCTCCCCCCCCCCCCCCCCCCCCCTCTTCCCGCCTCCCCCACAGCACAGCGGGCGGTCGAACGCATACACGGCAGCGGAGAACACCAACTACCAGTTCGACGTGGCTGCTGAGTTCTTGGATGAAGCGCTTGATAGGTGAGGGTGATAAGGGGTCCACAGGTAGGTGATGATGAGTGTTTCACAGGTGCTGACTTTTGGATGACGGTCATTTTGGGCTCAGATACTGCAATGTAAATCGCCACGGCAGCAGAGAACACCAACTACCGGTTCGAAGTCGCCGCTGAGTTCCTTGATGAAGCGCTTGACAGGTGGGTGATGATAAGGGCTTGGCAGGTTGGTGGTAAGGGTTTCACAGGTTGTTTGATACGGGTTTCACAGGTTGTTTGATACGGGTTTCAAAGGTTGTTTGATACGGGTTTCAAAGGTTGTTTGATACGGGTTTCAAAGGTTGTTTGATACGGGTTTCAAAGGTTGTTTGATACGGGTTTCAAAGGTTGTTTGATACGGGTTTCAAAGGTTGTTTGATACGGGTTTCAAAGGTTGTTTGATACGGGTTTCAAAGGTTGTTTGATACGGGTTTCAAAGGTTGTTTGATACGGGTTTCACAGGTTGTTTGATACGGGTTTCACAGGTTGTTTGATACGGGTTTCACAGGTTGTTTGATACGGGCTTCACAGGTTGTTTGATACGGGTTTCACAGGTTGTTGATACGTTTTTCAAGGTTTAGTGATAAGGGCTTGACAGGTTGGAGACAAGGGCTTTGGGTGCAGCAACCACTCCAAATGTCACAAGGGCTTTGGAGTTTTTTTTTTTTTTTTTTTTTTTCTCGTGATATCATGTGATGGCAGGTTCGCGCAATTTTTCATCGGCCCGCTCATGTCAGCCGATGCGACCAACCGGGAAATCAATGCGGTACACTCAGGTACACTCAGGTGCCAAGCTGCATTCCCCATTCATGCCACAAGAGCTTCTTCTGTCGGTGATGAGTGCAGTACTCTCATCCTTGCCTTGCCTGGATCGCTGCACCTGTCATGATGAATGGGTGCGTCTTGCCTTTCCACCATGAGTCTTGGTCGTTATCTGCGGTTTCATGGTTGCACCCTTGTGATGTTCTCTTCTACCTTTTTTACGCCTCTTGCCAACACAACCCTTCAGAGCACACCAAGAACCTGATTTCCGACCCTTGGCGAATCAACCAGGTAAGGCACACACAGTGGCTGGTGCAATGTAGCACCTCATTCATTCTTATTGTCGCTGTGCCAGAATTTTCTATGGCAGTTCAACTGATGTTCAGCTGTCAGTCAGAATGGCGACATCTGTGTGTGTGTGCCGCATCCTTTGATGTCTGCGCACGCGATACAAGCGGCTGCTCTCTGTTGTGTGTGATGCTCTGCCTGCCTTTAACTCTACATCCCTTGAACCTCTGCAATGTCCTTTCACCTCAACCCACCCACTCCTCCTGGCAGCTACAAAAGAGCTTCTGCTCGCCCCAGCACCCGTTCTACAAGTTCAACGTCGGTCAGTATCTCCACCTGCCTCATTTCCCCGTGCTCCATGCTCCATGCTTTACCGTGCACCCATGTCTCGTGCCCTCAAACCTACCATCCGTGATGCATACATGCCATGTCACACATGTTCAGGGTTACACTAACAACACATGCCCTGCGCATTCCTACTAAGCATGGTCATTGTTGATCCTGATGCATACGCTCATGTCCAATGGGGATGCATGGATGCTTCCTTGGTATGGCACGGCATGGCTCGTCACTGCACGGCACGCCGTCGCATGGCATGGCCTGTCATTACATGGCTTGTCACCTTATGGCACGGCACATCACGTCGCGTCACGGCATGGTATGGCATGGCATGGCACGGGCACACCAGGATCGCTGGAGACGCTGAAGGAGGTGCCTGAGGCGAGTGGGAGGGACATACGGCAGGAGTTGGTAACCTTTTATGAGAAGTACTACTCTGCCAACCTCATGCACCTCGTCGTCTATGGCAAAGGTGCGTGAGGTGCTGTGTGGTGCAGAGAGGTGCATGTGGTGTGTGGTGTGGGTATGGTGTGGTGCTCGTGGTGGGGCGAGTGGGAGGGACATACGGCAGGAGCTGGTAGCCTTCTACGAGAAGTACTACTCCGCTAACCTCATGCACCTCGTGGTCTATGGCAAAGGTGCGTGCAATGCTGTGCGGTACAGAGGGGTGCATGTGGTGTTTGGGAATAATGTGGTGCGTGTGCTGGGCTGAGAGGGACATACGGCTGGAGCTGATCGCCTTCTATGAGAAGTACTACCCCGCCAACCTCATGCACCTCGTGGTGTATGGCAAAGGTGCGTGCTGGGTGGTGGAAGAGGGTTGCATCCTGTGTTGTGCTCGGCTTGTGCCCAATGGGACAGACTGAACGAGCTGATAGCCTTGTATCGGCAGTGTTACTCCCCCAACAGCACCTCGTGGTGGTGTGTTGCAAGGATGATACCCATCCTTCGCTCTTCCTTGTCCTCGTCCCCCCCTCTTCAGAATCCCTCGCATCGCTGCGGGCCATGGTGGAGAGTCGCTTCGCCCTCATCCCCAACAAGGCTCTGCAGCAGCCTGACATCCCTGCCAACCCCTGCGGTCCCGAATACACCAAGGTGCGGTGCGGTGTCTCTAGGTCACTGCGCTTAAAAATATATACTTGTTTCAGAAATCTTGGCCTACAGTCCCGTGCAGCTTCTGCAGTGTAGAACACAACATACTAAAGTGCGTTGAGTTGCCTTAGGTTGCTGGACATGAGGAAGAGTGGTGGCAGCAATGTGCCAGGTCGATTCAGCAAAGCTTTTCCTTCCATCACTCAGAGCCTGTTACATGTCCAGCCTCCTTCCCTCCTTCCCTCCTTCCCTCCTTCCCTCCTTCCCTCCTTCCCTCCTTCCCTCCTTCCCTCCTTCCCTCCTTCCCTCCTTCCCTCCTTCCCTCCTTCCCTCCTTCCCTCCTTCCTTCCCTCCTTCCCTCCTTCCCTCCTTCCCTCCTTCCCTCCTTCCCTCCTTCCCTCCTTCCCTCCTTCCCTCCTTCCCTCCTTCCCTCCTTCCCTCCTTCCCTCCTTCCCTCCTTCCCTCCTTCCCTCCTTCCCTCCTTCCCTCCTTCCCTCCTTCCCTCCTTCCCTCCTTCCCTCCTTCCCTCCTTCCCTCCTTCCCTCCTTCCTCCTTCCCTCCTTCCCTCCTTCCCTCCTTCCCTCCTTCCCTCCTTCCCTCCTTCCCTCCTTCCCTCCTTCCCTCCTTCCCTCCTTCCCTCCTTCCCTCCTTCCCTCCTTCCCTCCTTCCTCCTTCCCTCCTTCCCTCCTTCCCCCTTCCCTCCTTCCCTCCTTCCCTCCTTCCCTCCTTCCCTCCTTCCCTCCTTCCCTCCTTCCCTCCTTCCCTCCTTCCTCCTTCCCTCCTTCCCTCCTTCCCTCCTTCCCTCCTTCCCTCCTTCCTCCTTCCCTCCTTCCCTCCTTCCCTCCTTCCCTCCTTCCCTCCTTCCCTCCTTCCCTCCTTCCTCCTTCCCTCCTTCCCTCCTTCCCTCCTTCCCTCCTTCCCTCCTTCCCTCCTTCCCTCCTTCCCTCCTTCCCTCCTTCCCTCCTTCCCTCCTTCCCTCCTTCCCTCCTTCCCTCCTTCCCTCCTTCCCTCCTTCCCTCCTTCCCTCCTTCCCTCCTTCCCTCCTTCCCTCCTTCCCTCCTTCCCTCCTTCCCTCCTTCCCTCCTTCCCTCCTTCCCTCCTTCCCTCCTTCCCTCCTTCCCTCCTTCCCTCCTTCCCTCCTTCCCTCCTTCCCTCCTTCCCTCCTCCCTCCTTCCCTCCTTCCCTCCTTCCCTCCTTCCCTCCTTCCCTCCTTCCCTCCTTCCTCCTTCCCTCCTTCCCCTCCTTCCTCCTTCCCTCCTTCCCTCCTTCCCTCCTTCCCTCCTTCCCTCCTTCCCTCCTTCCCTCCTTCCCTCCTTCCCTCCTTCCCTCCTTCCCTCCTTCCCTCCTTCCCTCCTTCCCTCCTTCCCTCCTTCCCTCCTTCCCTCCTTCCCTCCTTCCCTCCTTCCCTCCTTCCCTCCCCTCCTTCCCTCCTTCCCTCCTTCCCTCCTTCCCTCTTCCCTCCTTCCCTCCTTCCCTCCTTCCCTCTTCCCTCCTTCCCTCCTTCCCTCCTTCCCTCCCTCCTTCCCTCCTTCCCTCCTTCCTCCTTCCCTCCTTCCCTCCTTCCCTCCTTCCCTCCTTCCCTCCTTCCCTCCTTCCCTCCTTCCCTCCTTCCCTCCTTCCCTCCTTCCCTCCTTCCCTCCTTCCCTCCTTCCCTCCTTCCTCCTTCCTCCTTCCCTCCTTCCCTCCTTCCCTCCTTCCCTCCTTCCTTCCCTCCTTCCCTCCTTCCCTCCTTCCCTCCTTCCCTCCTTCCCTCCTTCCCTCCTTCCCTCCTTCCCTCCTTCCCTCCTTCCCTCCTTCCCTCCTTCCCTCCTTCCCTCCTTCCCTCCTTCCCTCCTTCCCTCCTTCCCTCCTTCCCTCCTTCCCTCCTTCCCTCCTTCCCTCCTTCCCCTCCTTCCCTCCTTCCCTCCTTCCCTCCTTCCCTCCTTCCCTCCTTCCCTCCTTCCCTCCTTCCCTCCTTCCCTCCTTCCCTCCTTCCCTCCTTCCCTCCTTCCCTCCTTCCCTCCTTCCCTCCTTCCCTCCTTCCCTCCTTCCCTCCTTCCCTCCTTCCCTCCTTCCCTCCTTCCCTCCTTCCCTCCTTCCCTCCTTCCCTCCTTCCCTCCTTCCCTCCTTCCCTCCTTCCCTCCTTCCCTCCTTCCCTCCTTCCCTCCTTCCCTCCTTCCCTCCTTCCCTCCTTCCCTCCTTCCCTCCTTCCCTCCTTCCCTCCTTCCCTTCCCTCCTTCCCTCCTTCCCTCCTTCCCTCCTTCCCTCCTTCCCTCCTTCCCTCCTTCCCTCCTTCCCTCCTTCCCTCCTTCCCTCCTTCCCTCCTTCCCTCCTTCCTCCTTCCCTCCTTCCCTCCTTCCCTCCTTCCCTCCTTCCCTCCTTCCCTCCTTCCCTCCTTCCCTCCTTCCCTCCTTCCCTCCTTCCCTCCTTCCCTCCTTCCCTCCTTCCCTCCTTCCCTCCTTCCCTCCTTCCCTCCTTCCCTCCTTCCCTCCTTCCCTCCTTCCCTCCTTCCCTCCTTCCCTCCTTCCCTCCTTCCCTCCTTCCCTCCTTCCCTCCTTCCCTCCTTCCCTCCTTCCCTCCTTCCCTCCTTCCCTCCTTCCCTCCTTCCCTCCTTCCCTCCTTCCCTCCTTCCCTCCTTCCCTCCTTCCCTCCTTCCCTCCTTCCCTCCTTCCCTCCTTCCCTCCTTCCCTCCTTCCCTCCTTCCCTCCTTCCCTCCTTCCCTCCTTCCCTCCTTCCCTCCTTCCCTCCTTCCCTCCTTCCCTCCTTCCCTCCTTCCCTCCTTCCTCCTTCCCTCCTTCCCTCCTTCCCTCCTTCCCTCCTTCCTCCTTCCCTCCTTCCCTCCTTCCCTCCTTCCCTCCTTCCCTCCTTCCCTCCTTCCCTCCTTCCCTCCTTCCCTCCTTCCCTCCTTCCCTCCTTCCCTCCTTCCCTCCTTCCCTCCTTCCCTCCTTCCCCTTCCTCCTTCCCTCCTTCCCTCCTTCCCTCCTTCCCTCCTTCCCTCCTTCCCTCCTTCCCCTTCTCCTTCCCTCCTTCCCTCCTTCCCTCCTTCCCTCCTTCCCTCCTTCCCTCCTTCCCTCCTTCCCTCCTTCCCTCCTTCCCTCCTTCCCTCCTTCCTCCTTCCTCCGGTCCCTCCTTCCCTCCTTCCCTCCTTCCTCCTTCCCTCCTTCCCTCCTTCCCTCCTTCCCTCCTTCCCTCCTTCCCTCCTTCCCTCCTTCCCTCCTTCCCATCCTTCCTCCCTCCTTCCCTCCTTCCCTCCTTCCCTCCTTCCCTCCTTCCCTCCTTCCCTCCTTCCCTCCTTCCCTCCTTCCCTCCTTCCCTCCTTCCCTCCTTCCCTCCTTCCCTCCTTCCCTCCTTCCCTCCTTCCCTCCTTCCCTCCTTCCCTCCTTCCCTCCTTCCCTCCTTCCCTCCTTCCCTCCTTCCCTCCTTCCTCCTTCCCTCCTTCCCTCCTTCCCTCCTTCCCTTCCTTCCCTCCTTCCCTCCTTCCCTCCTTCCCTCCTTCCCTCCTTCCCTCCTTCCCTCCTTCCCTCCTTCCCTCCTTCCCTCCTTCCCTCCTTCCCTCCTTCCCTCCTTCCCTCCTTCCCTCCTTCCCTCCTTCCCTCCTTCCCTCCTTCCCTCCTTCCCTCCTTCCCTCCTTCCCTCCTTCCCTCCTTCCCTCCTTCCCTCCTTCCCTCCTTCCCTCCTTCCCTCCTTCCCTCCTTCCTCCTTCCCTCCTTCCCTCCTTCCCTCCTTCCCTCCTTCCCTCCTTCCCTCCTTCCCTCCTTCCCTCCTTCCCTCCTTCCCTCCTTCCCTCCTTCCCTCCTTCCCTCCTTCCCTCCTTCCCTCCTTCCCTCCTTCCCTCCTTCCCTCCTTCCCTCCTTCCCTCCTTCCCTCCTTCCCTCCTTCCCTCCTTCCCTCCTTCCCTCCTTCCCTCCTTCCCTCCTTCCCTCCTTCCCTCCTTCCCTCCTTCCCTCCTTCCCTCCTTCCCTCCTTCCCTCCTTCCCTCCTTCCCTCCTTCCCTCCTTCCCTCCTTCCCTCCTTCCCTCCTTCCCTCCTTCCCTCCTTCCCTCCTTCCCTCCTTCCCTCCTTCCCTCCTTCCCTCCTTCCCTCCTTCCCTCCTTCCCTCCTTCCCTCCTTCCCTCCTTCCCTCCTTCCCTCCTTCCCTCCTTCCCTCCTTCCCTCCTTCCCTCCTTCCCTCCTTCCCTCCTTCCCTCCTTCCCTCCTTCCCTCCTTCCCTCCTTCCCTCCTTCCCTCCTTCCCTCCTTCCCTCCTTCCCTCCTTCCCTCCTTCCCTCCTTCCCTCCTTCCCTCCTTCCCTCCTTCCCTCCTTCCCTCCTTCCCTCCTTCCCTCCTTCCCTCCTTCCCTCCTTCCCTCCTTCCCTCCTTCCCTCCTTCCCTCCTTCCCTCCTTCCCTCCTTCCCTCCTTCCCTCCTTCCCTCCTTCCCTCCTTCCCTCCTTCCCTCCTTCCCTCCTTCCCTCCTTCCCTCCTCCCTCACCCACCCCCCCTCTCCCCCTTCTCACATCCTACCCCCATCATCCTTGCCTCACCCCTTTCAGAAGCTAGTGCGGGCAGTGCCAGTGGCGGAGGGGCACGAGCTGGAGCTCGTGTGGCCCACTCCAACCGACCAGCACCATTTCCCTCCTTCCACGTGCATGCACTCTCCCCTCCACTCCCTCCTTCCCCCCTTGCATTTTACTCCTGCCCCCCCCCCTTCAGAAGCTAGTGCGGGCAGTGCCAGTGGCGGAGGGGCACAAGCTGGAGCTCTTGTGGCCCACACCAGCCGGCCAGCATCAGTTCCCTCTTTTCACGCGCCTGCACCCTCCCTCCCCTCCACCCCTTCCTCGCTCCCTTGCATTTGTTCCCCTTCCCCCCCTCCGTCCCCCCCCATCAGAAGCTAGTGCGGGCAGTGCCAGTGGCGGAGGGGCACAAGCTCGAGCTCGTGTGGCCCACTCCACCCTCACAGACCAGCACCAGTTCCCTCGTTACGCGTGCCTGCACTCTCCCTTCCACCGCCTCCTCCCTCCCTTGCGTCCCCCCCCCCCCCATCAGAAGCTAGTGCGGGCAGTGCCAGTGGCGGAGGGGCACAAGCTGGAGCTCGTATGGAGCACACCGGCCGACCAGCACCTGCAGGAACCTACCCCTCCCGCGTGCGTTCACTCCCCAGTTCTCTCCCTCATTGCTCTATTCCCTTGTCTCATTTCCCCCAGAAGCTAGTGCGGGCAGTGCCAGTGGCGGAGGGGCACAAGCTCGAGCTCGTGTGGCCCACCCCGGCGGACCAGCACCTGCACCGCGCCACGCCCTCACGCTACCTGGGGCACCTGATTGGCCACGAGGGGCATGGCTCGCTCTTCGCACTGCTCAAGAAGAAAGGTGAGAGGAGGGGAGGAAGCCCCGCGCAGGAGACAAGAGAGCCGGATAGACATATCGGCCTCTGTTTCTCACTGTAACCTGCTTTCACTTGTCTGCTGCACCCTTCCACCCTTCCATTCAAAGCAATTTTCTGTGCCCTACCATCCATCCACTCAATGCCTGGCAGGGTGGGCCACGGCGCTAGGGGCAGGGCGCAGCCACAGCAGCAAGCAGTACGCCTTCTTTGCCGTCAACATCGACCTCACGGACCTGGGCCATGGTGAGTGCGCCCTGCTGTGTGTCCGCATTGCAACCACCGCGGCAAGCACGCAGAGCAAGTGGATGTCTCAACCACGCCACAACCACACCCATGCTGTCCACGGATGGGTCGGGATTCCTTCCCCCCAGCCCCCTTTTTTCTGGATTACTTCACAGCATGCGATGGGGGTGTGGGAGCTAGGTTGTTTCCCTCATGCCCCACACTGATCCCCTCCATGACCCATCCTCCCAATAACCGCAGAGCACGCCATGGAGGTGGCGGAGCTGGTGTTTCGCTACATCGGGCTCATTCAGAGCGGCCCCATGCCCCATGCCATCCCCCTGAATCCCCCCATCCCATCCTCATTCCATTCCCATCCTCCCAATGACCCCAGAGCACGCCATGGAGGTGGCGGAGCTGGTGTTTCGCTACATCGGGCTCATTCAGAGCGGCCCCATGCCCCATGCCATCCCCCTGAATCCTCCCATTATCCATCCTCCAACCCACCCCAGAGCACGCGATGGAGGTGGCGGAGCTGGTGTTTCGGTACATCGGGCTCATTCAGAGCGGCCAGGGCATTCAGAAGTGGATCTTCGACGAGGTACTGTGATGTGCCCATCACATGGGGACTCATGGCGTTTGTGATACTGCGCAGACAGTGAGTGAGGTGTGAGATGGAAGCAATGTGCTTTTGGGTTTGGGACATTGCAAAACCCATCTCACTGCCAATAAACACTAAGTTTCACTTCCAGGACAGCCCCTCCTCCCCATAACCATTGCGATGAAGTTTTTCCCCTAATGCCCTTGTACCCGTTTCGCTTGCTTCCTCGCCCGGCCATGCTTTCCTTTCAACCACTTGTTGTGTGTGTGCCAACAGCTGGCAGCGGTGTGCGCCACCAAGTTCCACTTCCAGGACAAGCTTTCTTCCCTATCACAGCCATGCTACCCTCATGACATTGTGTCTCGCTCTCTCTCTTCCACCCCCCGCTTTCCTTCATCACACGCTGTGCCAACAGCTGGCAGCAGTGTGCGCCACCAAGTTCCACTTCCAGGACAACCCGTCCTTCCCATCACTAGCTCCCATGCCCTTTTCTCCTGCTCTCTATCCCCTTCTCCCTTCCTATAATGTTACACGATACAGCTGGCAGCGGTGTGCGCCACCAAGTTCCACTTCCAGGACAAGCAGCAGCCGTTCTTCTACACCTCTGCCATCTCTGCCGGCATGCAGGTGAGCTTCTTGCTTTCACACTTGCCGCCTCCCATGCCGCCTGTCCAACCCCCCCCCTTCCAAAGCCCCATGCTCTCGTGTCCATGCATTCAGCTATCCATTTTCCTCTATTTCCCCTGCATGTATTCTTCATGCACCACGGAAACGTTGCGTGGCGCTCACTCGAATGCGCTCCACCCAACGTGGCGGCTCCTCTGTCCCTCAACCATCGCACCTCCCCCCAAGACCCTCATCCTCACCCAACAATGGCTGCTTTTCAGCCTCTCATCTTTCCCCTCCTTCCCCTTTCCCGACCACCCCCCTCCCCATGCGCAGCTGTACCCACGGGAGGACTGGCTGGCAGGCGCCTCTCTGCCGAGAGACTTTGACCCCAATGCTCTAGCTGACCTGGCCAAAGCCCTCACTCCCGACAACGTGCAGTGAGTGTGTGTGTGTGTGCCCGCCTGCTGCTCCTTGGTTCAGTCAGGTGCCCCTTGTTCCAAATCGGTGCTCCTCGTTTCAGTCTGGTGCTCCATGCTCCGATCTGGTTCCCTTTTGTCACTCCCCCCCTATTTGTGACTCTTCCTCCCTCTGCCCCTTTTGTCATTCCTTCCCTCCACTGCACACTCAGGATATTTTGGCTGTCAAAGAAGTTTGAGGCGGAGGCAACAGAGGAGGAGCGCTGGTACAAGACAAAGCACTCCGCCCAGAGCATCCCGGATGACTTGCTGCAGGTGATGGGTCAGAAGAGTCAATTATATAGCAGTGATTGCCAAAGAGGGGGAGGTCCATGTGGGGAACAACAATGGGTGTTGGGATGAATGGCTCCGTGAGTTGCTGTTCTTCCAATACTGTTTTGCTTATGGTTTTTTTTTTTTTTTTTTTTTTTTTTTCCCATCGTCTCCCTCCCTTTGCAGCGCTGGAGGGATGCAGTAACAGCTGCTCCTGATGCTGACCCTTCACCACCTGCCACCACGCCTCCTATGCCCAGTGCTGCTGCTGCTGCTGGTGGAGCCAGTGACAGTGCTGCTGCAGCAGCTGCTGCTGGTGGTGGTGCAGGCAGCGCAGCAGGGGATGGTGGTGGGGACAGCAGCGAGCTGCATCTGCCAGCACCCAACGAGTTTGTGCCCACCGACCTCGATGTTCTCACACCACCCACAGGCAAGGTGCGTCAGTCAGTCAGCCCAGAATGGTTGACGCCATGCCATGCCCATGCTACGCCTGTGGCACAGCCCCCACACACAATACAACCCCTTCTAATTCCTTGCAATGCATGTGCGGATCCCCCCCCACGGTCATCCACGCCACGCCCATGCTGTGCCTGTGGCACAAGCCCAACACGCTCTTCGGCCTTTGCAGTGACTCTCACTCTGTGCGACTCATGCTACCCTTCATGCGATGCATGTGCAGGTGTCCCCCCCCACGGTCATCCACGCCACACCCATGCTGCGCCTCTGGCACAAGCCCGACACGCTCTTCGGGCTACCCAAGGCGGTTCTCTTCATGCAAATCGCATCGCCTGAAGCCTACACCTCCCCTCGCTCCGCCCTCCTCACTCGCCTCTTCGCCTCGCTGCTCCAAGACGCCCTCAACGCGTACGGTACGTTGATTCAGCTAAAGTTTGCTCCTGTGCTCTATCTCGTCTGGTTTCCTCTTCCTCACCCCTCTCGTATGCTTGTATGGCTGCCTAGCTCACCCTCCCCGACAACCCCCCCCCCATATTTCCCATCCCTCATCTTTCGGCTTCCCCTTACTCTCAACGCATCCCCTTTCCCCTGCGCACCACCCCTGCCATCACGAGCAGCGTACGATGCGGAGATTGCGGGGCTTAACTACTCGATTGTGCCAAGCGTGCACGGCATTCAGGTACGGATTGTAGGTACGGATTCAGGCACGGATGGTAGGGATGGTGGGCGATTGGGATGGTATGAATGGCACGTATGGTAGAAATGACAGGGATTGCAGGGATGGGGTGCTGCTGCTGGTGGCGAAGAGCCTATCCAATTCTCTCACATGCGTGCCCCTGTGGCCCTTTTCTTCTCTCTCTTCCCCCTGCCATCCCTCCACACACAGATATCGGCGTGGGGGTACAGCCATAAGCTGCTGCTGCTGGTGGCTAAGATCATCGACCGCCTCGTCACCTACACTGTTGATGCTGATCGCTTCCACGTCATCAAGGTGGGCTTCCACGTCATCAAGGTGGGCTTTCACGTCATCATGGTTCCTTTCCACATCATCACATTTTTTTCTAGTTCTATGCGAGAAGCGATCTTCCTCTCGCCACACTCGTCTTCCCCCTCGTTCCCCCTCTCCCACCTCTTGCCCCACAGGAGAAGGAGCAGCGGGAGTTTGAGAACTTCCGCTACGACCAGCCGTACGCACAGGCCCTCTACCCCGCGTCACTGCTGCTGCTGCGCTGCACCCACTCCCAGTCACCCCCTCCTTCCCCTCTCTCCCACTTCTCGTCTTACAGGAGAAGGAGCAGCGGGAATTCGAAAACTTCCGCTACGACCAGTCGTATGCACAGGCCCTCTACTCCGCGTCACTGCTGCTGCTGCGCTGCACCAATTGCCACCTTCTCTTTGCGCCCCTTCGTCACTCCTCGTTCCACCTTTCAGGAGAAGGAGCAGCGGGAGTTTGAGAACTTCCGCTACGACCAGCCATACGCGCAGGCCCTCTACTCCACGTCGCTGCTGCTGGCGCACCGGCGCTGGCACTTCTCCGACTACCTCGCCGCCCTGCCCGCTCTCCAACCAGAGCACCTCGCCGCCTTCCTCCCCTCGCTGCTCTCCCACGTCTCCCTCGAGCTCTTCGCCTCAGGTACCGGGTCGTTGCATCAGGTGCAGCTGTGTGCAGAATCTTGTTCTGCGTCGACTCAAAACACGACTCTTCGCCTCAGGTACCGAGTCTTCGCCTCAGGTACCGAGTCTTTGCATCAGGTACAGCTGTGTGTGAGGAGAATCATGCCTGTGATCCAGGCGGCTAGCTGCTGGCGCACCGGCGCTGGCACTTCTCCGACTACCTCGCCGCGCTGCCCGCCCTGCAGCCAGACCACCTCGCCACCTTCCTCCCCTCGCTGCTCTCCCACGTCTCCCTCGAGCTCTTCGCCTCAGGTATGGTCTTTGCCTCAGGTGCCACCTGCCCCTGGTTCCCTCTCTTTCTCGTTCTCTCAGGTACAATACCCGTCCTCTTTCTCTCGTTGTGCTGCTGACCTCTCACTCACCTTCCTGGCAGCAGCAGTGCCCCCCGCGCCGGCACAACATCCTGAGCTGCTCCCAATCCCATTTCCCTCCTTTTCAAACCCCACCTCCGTCCCTCGCCCCGTCAGGCAACATCGCCCCCACAGCAGCTATAACTTTCGCCCAGGAGACCGAGTCCCGCCTGCGATCCAGCCCGATCGCAGCAGCAGAGGCCCCCGTGCCGGCACAGCGGCCTGAGCTGCTCTCAATTCTATCCGCCGTCCCCCACTCGCCCCTCGTTCTCCCTCTTCAGGCAACATCGCCCCCACAGCAGCGATAGCGTTCGCCCAGGAGACGGAATCTCGTCTGCGGTCCAGCCCGATCGCAGCAGCAGAGGCCCCTGTGCCCGCACAGCGGCCTGAGCTGCGCATGGTGCGGCTGGGGGATGGCAGTGCAGCTGTGCTGGCTGGGGATAACCTCAACCCCGACGACGAGAACTCTGCTCTCGTGTTCTACCTGCAGGTGAGCGGTGGGGGGTGTGGGAGAGGTGAAGGGAGGAGCAGGAGCGAGGGGGTTGCGGCAGCCTGAGCTGCGCATGGTGCAGCTGGGGGGTGGCAGCGCTGCCGTGCTGGCTGGTGCGAATCTGAACCCCGACGACGAGAACTCTGCCCTTGTCTTCTAGTTACAGGTGAGGGGGGTGATTGAGAGTGGGGGTAGGACAAGGGGGTAGCAGCACAGCCCCCCATGCCGGCACAACCCCTTGTTCCCGCGCAACACCCTGAGCTGCGCATGGTGCCGCTGGGTGATGGCAGCGCGGCTGTGCTGGCTGGGGATGATCTCAACCCCAATGACGAGAACTCGGCCCTCGTGTTCTACCTGCAGGTGAGGAGGGTGGGAGGGGTGAAAGGGGTGAGGGGAGGGGGGGCAGGGGCTAGGGGTTTACAGCGCCCTGAGCTGCGCATGGTGCGGCTGGGGGGTGGCAATGCGGCTGTGCTTGCCAAGGGAAATCTGAACCCCAATGACAAAATACTCTGCTGTTGCGTCCCTCCCTGCCGTCACTCCAGGTGTGCCAAGACGGGGAGACCATCGTCCTGCCGGCAGCCCCGGCAGCCCCAGAGCCCAACAAGGAAGAAGCTGTCACTGGGGAAGACCATAAGTTTTTCTCCCTGCGCAGTGACTGTCTCCTCTCCGTTCCTCCGGCCCCGCTGTGCCCTCACTCCAGGTGTGTCAGGACGGGGAGACCATCATCCTGCCGGCAGCCCCGGCAGCCCCAGCGCCCAGCAAGGAAGAAGCCGGCACCAGTGAAGTGACTCAGGCAACGGCGTCAGAGGCAGGGGGGGAGAGCGCGAACGGCGGGCTGATTGTGGAGAAGCCGAATGGGGAGGCAGCGGGGGTGAGCGTGCGAGCGCATGTGGTGGCGCAGCTGCTGGTGCAGGTGGTGGAAAGGGATGTGTTTTACGAGTTGCGCACCGTGCAGCAACTGGGTTACATCGTCTTCCTCATGTCTCGGTGAGTGTGCTGCTGCCTGCACAGCCGATTCAGCTGCCGGTGCAGCTGCTGGTGCAGGTGGTGGAGAGGGACGTGTTCTATGAGCTGCGCGCCATTCAGCAACTGGGCTATATCGTGTTCCTCATGTCAGGGTGGGTGGTTGTTACCCAGTACAGTGAGTGTGCTCCTGCTGCTGCTGTCTGCACACCTGCTGGCACAGCTGCTGGTGCAGGTGGTGGAGAGGGATGTGTTTTACGAGCTGCGCACCGTGCAGCAACTCCACTTGTTTCCGAGCCATTGCTCCAACTCTCCCTCTTCCAACCTCGTCTTTTCCCTGTGCTGCCCCATTGGCCTCACAGCAATGAGAACGCAGTTCACGGCATCACCTTCATCATCCAGTCAAACGTCAAGGCACGTTCCGCTCCTCTCTCTCCCACCTTTCATCCTTGCCGCTGCGCCCTCATTCTCACCCTGCCAACCCATAAAATCTCGTGTGCTCTAAATCGTGTTTACCGTATCTGAATTAGTGCCCTCTCCGTTGATGTTTGTGCATTCCACTGCTAGTTCATGTGCCAACGCTTGAGTCAGTTCAAATGGCATGTGTCAGCTGATGTGTCAGTTCGCATGCCATGTGTCAGCTGATGTGTCAGTTCGCATGCCATGTGTCAGCTGATGGCGGTTCATATGCCAGCTTATAAACCAATCCCAACTCCTCCCCACGCAGCGGAGGGTAAGCTGTCCCCACCTCCCCTTATCCTTCACCTCGTCTCCACCACACTCCACCCCTCCCAACCGCTCCCCATGGGGAGCAGTCAGCGAACGACCTGGACGGGCGGGTGGAGGCGTTTCTGCAGGCAGCGGAGAGCAACCCATCTCCCCTTAATACCCCACCTCTTCTTCTCTCCTTGCCCCTGTTTTGGTACCCACACCTCTCCACCCCTCCCCACCGCTCTCCACCGCTCCCCGTTGAATTGAGATCAGTCAGCGAGCGATCTGGATGGGCGGGTGGAGGCGTTTCTGCAGGCAGCAGAGAGCAAGCTGGCCAGTATCACTGAGGAGGAGTTCCAGGTGGGTGGCATCTCTTGTCTGCTTCTGCCTTGTTTCTCAATTTTCCCACGGATTGACATGGATTCACAAAGCATTGCAGATGCACTACCACTCTTACCTACCCACACCCAACCCCATCAAACCCATGTGGCGGCGGTGGTGGCGAAAGAAGCAAGAGAGGAAGGAGAACTGGGAGGGAGTTATCTTATTTCCACATGTTGCATACACTAACCACCGCATTGCACCACAACCCACCACACTTCACCACACCCAACCCCGTCAGAACCATGTGGCAGCACTGGTGGCAAAGAAGCAGGAGAGGAAGAAGAATCTGGTGGAGGAGGCGAATGTTGCATTAACTAACCACCGCATTGCACCACACCCCACCACTCCGCACCACCCTCCACTACAACCAACCCCGTCAGACCCATGTGGCAGCGCTGGCGGCGAAGAAGCAGGAGAGGAAGAAGAATCTGGTGGTGGAGGCGAATGTATTCCTGCGTGTTGCATGCACTAGCCACCGCATTGCACCACCCCCCACTACACATCACCCCATCCCACCACACTCGACCACACCCAACCCCATCAGACCCATGTGGCGGCGCTGGTGGCAAAGAAGCAGGAGAGGAAGAAGAATCTGGTGGAGAAAAAGTACCCCTATAGTTTCATAATACTAACAACTGCACCCCACCCTGCTTCAAATCACCCCATCCCACCACACTCCATCACACTCCACCACACCCAAGCCCATCAGACCCATGTGGCAGCGCTGGTGGCAAAGAAGCAGGAGAGGAGGAAGAATTTGGTGGAGGAGGCGAATGTTGCATTAACTAACCACCGCATTCCACCACACCCCACTACTCCGCACCACAACCCACCACGCCCAACCCCATCAGACCCATGTGGCGGCGCTAGTGGCGAAGAAGCAGGAGAGGAAGAAGAATCTGGTGGAGGAGGCGAATGTGATGTGGAAGGAAATCGACGATGCCATGCTGGCCTTTGACCGCGTTGACCAGGAGGTAATTATGACCTTTGGCCGTGCTTACCAGGAGGTGAAGACTGCCTTTGACCTCGTTGACCATGCCTCGACTATAGCCTATTCCCTCCCGTTAAGCCCCCAGCTCACAGGGGGGGTTACGAAATACAGAGCCACAACTTCTCACCCCCTCAAGTTACACCCCCCACATTTCTTTCCCTGTTTTGTCCCTCTCCCTCACACCGTCTCTCCCTCTCACCCACTCCCCCCCCATCTCTTTTCGTCCTTACCCCCCGTGCGCCAGGTGGCGGAGCTCCGATTGCTGCGTCCATCCCACGTGGCGCATTTCTTTGCCACCGTGGTGAAGCAAGGCGCGCCCAATAGGAGGCTGCTCAGCGTGCAGGTACACCATAAGCTCAGAAAGTATTATATTCCATGTTATAAGTTATTTTCCTATTTAGTGTGATTTTGGTGCTGTGCACTGCCGTTACTCGTGCCTTTATATCACACAACTAAATTTGTGTATACGTAACGTTCTGCACTTGCATTGCTGGTAATGCATGCTCTGGTACGGTACTTTGCATGATCCCAACACCACAGGTGCAGAGGCATGACAAGGAAGCAGCGCCGGAGGAAGCAGCACCCGAGGAAGCAGCACCGGAGGAAGCAGCAACAACCTGTGCAGCGGAAAGCGCCCCCGAGCCTGCTGTGAATGGTTCAGACAGCACTGCTCCCGTCTGTGCCGTAAGCCCTGAGAGTGGAGCAAGTGATGCTGCCAGTGGAGGCAAGGAGGGAGCGAAAGAGTTGGTGGCAGCATCAAGCAAGGAGAAGAGGGAAGTCATTGACAACATTTATGATTTCAAACGCTCCCAGGCTCTTTATCCTTCGCTCAAAGGAAGGCCACTTCCGTCTTGCATTGTATCGTCATAGTAAGGCTAGTGCCAGCCTCATTATTCATATTAACTAGTGTGCTAACATAATATTTGAGAAGCTGTAACGATTTATTTCTGTATCAGCACTGTATCTGCTCTGGTTTGGTTGGTTGCACAGTTCAGTAGGTTGAATCGGGTACTCAAATCTCACCCCAGACCACCTTGCGTGGGCTATGATGGCGGTGAAGTACAGTATTGTAGCAACTTTTTTTATTCGATAACGATGGCGCCCAGCGTCTCAAGACATCTTACCCTTCGCAACGAAGCCGGACCGTGCAGAGTCAGCAGGACAACGCAGCAAGTATCGCCCGCATGCGTGGCTGAGAACCGAATCTCCTGCCTCGCTGGAGGACAGCGCATGTATCCACTTTCCACCCAGATGCCCCAGAAAGCAGGGACCTGCGCCGCGACGCTTTGAACGTTCAAACGCCAGTGGCAACCGCGGTTCGTATGGGCGTGTGATGATGGGGAACAACAGCAAGGATGGTTTTGCGGGGATAGTTGAGGGAATGTTTGGCTGAAAGAGGTTCTGAGCGTGGTACACCCTGCACTGCTGGAAATATAGGGCCGGCTCTTGCACAGTGCTCGAACACCAAGATTTACACCGAGTGGCTATATTTGAATGAATTTGTTGGATCAGGTATTGGTGCGTTGACCCCTGAATTCAGCTTTCGGTTACTTTTGCACCCTCATTCGACCGCTGGTGCGATCGCTTCGCATCAACCGCCCCAGCAGCAGCTGAGCTGACATTGAACATCTCCCCATCACCACCACCGCACCTATCCCCACCACACTGTCCCCCTCTCACTCCCCCCACTCGTGCATGATTGTAACGTGTGCGACCGCGGTCAGCGCAGGGACTTGGCGGGTTCCGCGCGTATCTCCTTCGCTGTTCTGGACTTTCACGACGACTGACCATCTATGACAGACTGCCCGCAACGCGTTCTCGTCATCCCACTCAGCGGGGGTCATATTCGTTTGGTTACATTACAACAATCGATTCTGCTAGGTTCATTCTGGTGCGCCATGGTCAAAAGCGGTGAAATACAAAACCGTAATTTACCGTGGCAGAACGTTCTAAACCGTGTTCAACAACCCCTGACCCGCCCTCATCGAGGAATCCATCCATCCCTCCCCCTGCTGCTGCCCCCTTCCAATATTCCCCTTCTATTCCCACATTCGCGAGACTGTACAAAAGCACACCCCGTCGTCCTCAAGTTTCAGCCTCAGCCCACACGACGCGACACGACCCGCTTGACACGAAAACGGTAGAACCTAGATTCCACGCACCTACTGACGCGCGACGCGAAGCTGAGATGCCTCGTGGTCGGGTCAGGCCCAGGTGGTCATTGTTGACACGCTTCTCCTCATCCACTTTCGGTTTTCGAATTGACGTCCGAGAAAACACAAATACACACAGAGCAGATCGATTCGTACCCACAAGCTCACTCGACTTCTCACACCGTCCTCGGCTGTCGTCCCACCCAGTCAGCATAATCCGCCGTGCTTCCCATTCATCCTACCTTTACGATCCCAATAACGCGTCTAACTAGAGGTGTCGACAATAACAGCGCCTGTAGCGAGCGTTCCTTACATATTTGAACGTCTTCAGTGCAGCGGCAGCCCAAGAAAACTCTTGTTTGCTGGAGGCTGACTCTTTCTTTTTAAACTGGAAGGTGTTTTAGTGGGTGTTTACCCTTTTTAGGACTTTCGAAGTTCTGTCGATAAGTAGTTTTTGTGCACTCATCGCATTTCTCAGCGGCTCAAGGCAGAGAAGCAGAGAGGAGCAGAGAGGAGGACCAGCGGAGGAGAACAGGAGTGCAAGAGGAGAGTGAAGACATGGAGCCGTATTTCAGCAGTTGTCGCGAGATCCTAATAGCCGTCGATAACAGTGAAGGTGAGCACCCGCCGTTGATCGTCCATCGCCTCGCTTCTGCATCGTCGGCCGACCCCGTTCTGTGCGTTCACACGCACTCCGTGGCCTATCCTACTGTTGCTCTGCTGCCGATCAGCCGTGTCCCGACATCAAAGCTCACCGGCACGCATGCGGACTGGGATCTGCCGTGTTGCGAGGCGATCCGTGGCCCTGTATCGTGCCTACCTCTGATGCGCAGCGAGCAGCGAGCAGCGAGCAGCGAGCAGGGTATCTCTGATGCTCGTCCACGTGCGACGAGATCACGCTCGACGCGCTCTGTTGCTCATCCGCCGCCCCGTTAATCGGCTGTACCTGGGTCTATCCTGTTGTTGATCGACGTATCTCTTGCCCTTCCCCCTACTGCCTCTTCTCTCGTGCGCGGCGCGTGCAGGGTCGGAGCTCGCGTTCAACTGGGCGCTCCGGAATTACTGCAAGCGGCACGACCACGTGCGGCTAATACACGTCGTCAGAAATTACAGCGGTCAGTTCGTACGCCCATTCTCTCATTTGGCTTGCTGTCTCCTCCCTTTTTCTTTTACCCCTTTTTCCAGTGTTCCTTTCACTGTCATCCCCTGTCCTCCCGATTCCGCCCAACCCGCCTTTCTCATCACTCACCCACTTTCTCCCCTCGTTCCCCGTTGTCCCTCGCCCCCACTCCCTGCGACGCGCCACGCAGATGCCATCGGCACGCTACCCAAGGAGGCGATCGCGTGTTTAGAGCAGCAGGCCATGACGTCAGCGCGAGCCGTCGTGGAAAAGTACATGCGCCGATGCGCCCACGCCGATGTAAGCCGCGCCCCTCGGCGCCTTCCCCCTCGCCCCCTCGTTTCCTCAACCCCAATACACACCCAGCCCGCCGCCTCTCCCCCCCCTTCACTCCACCGCACCCCTTCCCATTCCCCCTCGCGCCCTGTGCCCACTGCTACCCACTCGCGCCCATTCCTCCAATTCATTCCTCGTTCCCTGTCCCTTCTTCCTCTGCCAACGCTTCTTGCTGTCGCCCCACTTTCGCCTCACGCGCGAGAAGCCCCAGGGAGAATGGTGTTCTAATATCCATGTGGTGTGACGTGACGTGGCAATGCAGGTGGACTGCGATTGGCGGATAGCGTGTGGCGACGAGAGGGACGTGATCTGTCGCGAGGTGATGCGTGTGTGCGCCGACGTGCTCATTGTCGGCACCAGGAGCCTGCCGGCCGCCAAAAAGTGAGTCCCACTGTCAGCATTTGTCCCTTGCATGACACGCGCGAAATGGCCCTCATAAGGTGATGCGTGTGTGCGCGGACGTGCTCATTGTCGGCACCAGGAGCCTCCCACCTGTCAAAATGTGAGTGCTGCTCTGCACCTCACAGACTGTTGCTCTCGTGACATGAGGTGATCTCAGTGTGCCGACGTGCTCATCGTTGGCACGAGGAGTCTCCCGCCCGTCAAAAAGCGAGTGCTGCTCTGCACCTCACCAGGTGTCATCTCTGAAAGGCCTGCAGTGCATGTTCGACAGCGGCAGTACAGGTTTCTCACTTGTCGGAATGAGAGCTTCTTTTGTGATTATTCATGCTTTTGTCTGCCTCCATCTTCTTGTCTCTTCTGTTGCATGCACCTGCCAGCTTGTATTTTCTCTCATCACCTTCCCTTCTGTGCCTCTGCCGGTCCTTCCACCTTCCCCTGCAGAGCTCTACTCGGCTCAGTCAGCGAATACTGCGCGCACCACAGGTTAGTCTCGCAGCAGCAGCTCCTGCTCCTCTGGCACCACCGAATTCTCCTCCGCTTGTGCAGTTTCTCTTCACCTTTTTACATTCCATTCTCATTCTGCAGCTCACTCCTAAACTAAATATCTTCCCTGTGCGTTCTGTGTCTCCTCAACTTCTCATATGCATTACTTCCTGCCCTGCCAGTGCATGCCCGGTCATCATTGTGAGGCCCAAGGAGCTCAAGTCGGAAGTCATTGCTGCACAGCGATCGGTAGTCAGTGAAGCCCTCCCGCAGGGATGTTAATAGGTTTGAACCGAGTGGAAATTGTGTGCTGTTGCGGGCTGCATGTACGGTAGCCCCATGCTTTATCTGTATGTAGACAACCATCAAGGTAATGCAAGAGATTGTGGATGGCACAATGGCATCCCGGTGATTACATTATCAAAGTGTTTTCAAAGGCATACCGGTACCTGTCTCCAGGAATATCAAAAGCAGCATTGTGGTTAGCTACCGTAAGAATGTCCTATAACTACACACGCTGTAGAAGCTATGTAAGCTGTACAGTAAAATTCGATAAGGAGCGCACTTCTATGCACGTGAATGGCATGGGGATCTCCTGAGGCATTGACCACGTGAGTGGATCCAACGGCCAGAAGCGCATTGACACTATCCATTTCCTAGCATCTTGCGAACGTTCCTATACGTGGCAGACTTTCTCATCCACGTCAATTTCACCCAATTAAGGCACTCTGGTCCTTGAATTGTGGAGCCTTTTGCCCAATCGCAGTGCACTTTGGGCTTTCCGCGCAACACGCCGCCTTCCATGTCGGCTGCGCCAAATCCGTGGAAATTCGTCCAGCGGGTCTTTTCCCCGCACAGAAAATTCATGCTTTTGCACTGGGTTTAGGGAGCTCCACCGCAACTAGCTTCCGCACCAGACACACATGCTCCTAGCATTCATTTTCAAATGAACTGTCACGTTTGTGTTCGGTTTGTTGCGTTCCATAGCGGTGCCACATAAAGAGCCGCGGTAAAACGCAACAAAACCCAACTGAACCGTAGGAATACACACATAACCAAGCAACTGGCTGGCACCCACCTAGCTGGCTGGCTGGTCCTCCCTTTCTTTCCCCTACCCACCGCTCCCCTCGTCCCATCTCCCCTTTTTCCGCCATCATTCCCCACAACCTTTTCTTCCTGTTGCTTTTGCTCTTCCTACAAATTTCTTTCATTCCAGCTTCTTAGCTTGATGCTAACGCAGGCACCCACAACCTCCTGTGCTCTTTCGAGCACTTCCCTTATCCACTCGGGAACCCGACCTTCCCGTACGACCCGCGTTCCCTGTGTATCGGAAGTTACAGGGAAAGCAGCCGTAGCCATGAAGGCGTCTAGGGTTGTCCGTTTGATGTCGACTGTAGCGCCCAGCCTTCAGAACGCCATGTCCGGTGCTACAGCCGGATCGGCTATAGCGCCTGTAGCGGCGTCAGCAGCGGCGGCTCAGAGATCGGCTTCGATCGTCGGCGATCGTCCGCAGATCGCGCAGAATATGCGAAGTGCGTGGGTGACTGGTCATGGTCAGACGTCGCTGTGGCGTCGCATGTCGTCGTCTGCGACGGTTGGCGGCGCTAATGTGTCGCACAGATTGCTCGCACGGCCTGTGCCTTCGGCGTACATGCTCACTCGAAAGGCCTCCAGCGCAGGTAATTACCGATTCTGCACAAATCCCTGTGACAATCAGACTGTTTAATCCCTATGAAACCAGGATGGATATCTCTTCCAACGGTCACCCTACAGTCTACAATGCTGTGATCCTTCATGATCATTCTGACGCCTCTATTGTCACTCTGATCCTGGGCTCTGGCCTGTGCAGCGCCCGAGAATCCGTTCAAGAACATCGTCACAGACCTCCCATCGGGCGACGGCGGCTCGTACGGGAAGTACTACAGCCTTCCTGCACTCAACGACCCGCGCGTTGGTGAGTAAGCATTTGTGCACGTAAGTTTTGTTTTACTGATAAATTTATTTGAAGTAAGTAGCCGGTAACCTCCCCCAAGTTTGTTTTGTTTTGTTTTTTTTTTTTTTTCGTAAGAAAGGGATTTAAACGTCTCAGTAAGAGCCCGCTTGAATGTCCAGGCTTGTAGAATCTGCGTTGTGCTCCCGATTAGAGCTGATCCGCTAAAAAAGAGAGCTATGCGCTGCTTCATGTTGAGACAGCTTGCAAACAGGCCTGATTACATTAAAGCCTTAATGGTGTCTCGTCAAACTCAGGTCATTGTGGATAAAGCTGTTGATTTAGCTATTACCGTTCTGTGACGACACGGTTTTTTACTAAACACTTGCTCTTTTTACTATTACTGCCCTTGATCGCCACGTCACGCCACGTCAGATCGCCTGCCCTACTCCATCCGCATCCTGCTCGAGTCCGCGCTGCGCAACTGCGACAATTTCCAAGTGCTGCCCGCTGACGTGGAGAAGATTCTCGACTGGGAGAAAACTGCCCCGCAGCAAGTGGAGATTCCTTTCAAGCCTGCCCGCGTGCTGCTGCAGGTACGGAACGAGCAGGGTGAAGCAATTACGCGCGTGCATGTCGCTTTTGATCCCTCGTCCTCTCAATTTACTGGCAATGTTTCTCTTTCGCTTGCATTTCCCACCTGATGGCATACAGTCAGCGTTAATATCATCCCTCCCTCCTCTTCTCCCCTTCCCCTCCCCCTTGGTCCCCCCCCCCCTTTTTTTTCCCTCTCCTCTGCAGGATTTTACCGGCGTTCCCGCCGTGGTGGATCTGGCAGCGATGCGCGACGCGATGAAGTCGCTGGGCGGCGATCCGAACGCGATCAACCCGCAGGTGCCGGTGGATCTGGTGATCGACCACTCGGTGCAGGTGGACGTGGCGGGCTCCGCCAATGCGGTCGCGCAGAACATGCAGCTCGAGTTCGACCGCAACAGCGAGCGCTTCGCGTTCCTCAAATGGGGCGCCAAGGCCTTCCAGAACATGCGCGTCGTGCCTCCGGGCTCCGGCATTGTGCACCAGGTGAGCGGTCAAGCTGGCATTGACATGTTTCTGAGATGAGCTTGGGAATCCACGCTTCCTTGACATAAGGTTATTGACCACAATCCTCTGAGGAAAGGTTGGTTGAGAATCTGCAATCTGCCTGTTCTAACTCTGCTCCGACTCCGCTGTCCCTTTGTTCCAGGTGAACCTGGAGTATCTGGCGCGAGTGGTGTTTGCGCACAAGGGGCTGCTGTACCCGGACAGCCTGGTGGGCACGGACTCGCACACCACCATGATCGACGGGCTGTCGAGCATTTACTCTCCCCTTCCCATTCCTTGCTGCGTGCACACCACTTTTGCAGGTGAACTTGGAGTACCTGGCGCGAGTGGTGTTCGCGCACAACGGCTTTCTCTACCCGGACAGCCTGGTGGGCACGGACTCGCACACCACCATGATCGACGGGCTGTCGAGCATTTACTCTCCCCTTCCCATTCCTTGCTGCGTGCACACCACTTTTCCAGGTGAACTTGGAGTACCTGGCGCGAGTGGTGTTCGCGCACAACGGCTTTCTCTACCCGGACAGCCTGGTGGGCACGGACTCGCACACCACCATGATCGACGGGCTGGGCGTGGCGGGGTGGGGCGTGGGCGGCATTGAAGCCGAGGCCACCATGCTGGGGCAGGTGCGTTGATGCAGATGCGTGATGAGACATACAGTGCCATGGCTGATGTGGTGCTGTGTGAGTTTACTCCCCTTCCCCCGTCCCCTCATTCCCGCTTCCCTCACCACCTGCACAACCGCTTTTCCCCACCACTGCACAACTGCACAACCCGTCTCCCCACTTTTCCCACTGTGCCACTCCCGACTTCCCCCTCCTCCCTCCCCACCAGCCCATGAGCATGGTGCTCCCCGAGGTGGTGGGCTTTAAGCTGACCGGAAAGCTCCAGCCTGGTGTGACGGCGACGGACCTCGTGCTGACGTGTACGGCCATGCTGCGTCAGCACGGCGTGGTGGGCAAGTTCGTGGAGTTCCACGGCGACGGCATGCGCCACCTGGCGCTCGCTGACAGGGCCACCATTGCCAACATGGCACCCGAGTACGGCGCGACTATGGGGTTCTTCCCCGTGGACGATGCCACGCTGGCGTATCTCAGGACATCTGGGCGAGATGAGAGCACGGTGAGTGAGTGAGTGAGTGAGTGAGTGAGTGGGTAAGGAGATAGCACCACAGGAGCCACTATGGGGTTCTTCCCTGTGGACGATGCCACGCTGGCATACCTCAGAACTTCTGGGCGCGATGAGAAGACCGTGCGTGAGGGAACCATGGTGGGACGTGATGGGGGAATCGCGAGTGAGTGGTGGGAGGTGGGGATTGAGAAGGGTGCGTTCACGGGCGTTGGACGATGCCACGCTGGTATATCTTAAAGCCCAATACACGAATTACAAAAAACGAAGGCAAACTGTGCACAGTTTGCCTCCCGCAGCCCATAGTTTTGCCTCGCGTTGACTTGCGTTGAGCAATTCAGGTCTGGTTTTAAGACCTCTGCCCGAGCTGAGAAGACGGTGAGTTAGGGAACCACGGTGGGAGGGGATGAGGTGAGAGAACGGTGAAATGAGAGTGCAGTGAGACGCAAATCATCGTGCAGTGGAGAAGGAGCAGGTTAACCAAGCATCCGAGCGTTCCTCTGTTCGCCTGACTTCAAAATCATCTTCTTTACGTGTATGCTCAAACATGTGTGCTGTGCGTGCAGGTGAAACTGGTGGAGGCATACCTCCGAGCTAACAAGATGTTCATCGATTACAATGAGGTGAGATTACCGGCGGTTGTCATTTCAGAAAGGTTTTTCATGCTGCAAATTAAACACCACGAGGTTGCCGCAACACTTGACTGTAGGGCACAGCACCTCACTATGTTTCCCACACATGTGAATTCACTACCTCATGGAGCTCTAAGGAGCTCTATGTGCCCCAGCTCCATTCCATATCAACCGCGCTACTTTTCACTTGCTCACTTGCTCCCCCCTACTCTGCCCCTCTCTGCCGCTCTGCGGCCCTCTACGCCCCACTATGCCCCTCTCTTGCTCCTCTTTGCCCCTTTTTGCCCCTCTGCGCCCCTCTGCCCTCCTCACAGCCCCAGGCGGATCGGTCCTACTCCTCGGCGCTGGAGCTCGATCTGGGCGCCGTAGAACCCTGCATTTCCGGCCCCAAGAGGTATTCCGTGATGCGTCCGTAGGGTTTGGGGCTCAGGGTTTGACTTGGGGGCTTCGGGTTCAGGGTTTTTGATTCGGGTTTGGGGGTTTATGTTTGGTG